AACTAGAAGGAAACCGACGGAAAATGTGTCGGAACGGCCGATGTTCTCTGTCGGCGGCGAATAAAACTCAAATTTATTAAGTTTTCAGAAATTAAAATTCATTTTTTGGTGAAAAAAATTAGAGAGAATATCGAATGGCTGCGATTTTGTTGATCGCGTGGATATCGTGACTGCCACGTGCGATCAAGGTTCACTGGATTCTCTCTGGGCTAGATTTGTCTGACAAGCCCCCACTGACATATTGACACGTGTGTTTAGTTTTGTCCTTATCCGTAAGGTTATCCATAGACCAATAGCATAAAGTAATTATTTTTTAATTATGCATTTATGAGTTAGATTGAAATAAATACCCATTTAAATAATTGTTATTTCTTAAAAACAATTTATTTATTGGCCATTAATCATTTTATGAATTTAGCGATTTTTAAATAGACTTATAAAAATTATCATAATTGAACTTTTTAGTATTTTAATGAAATTGTACTATGTAGTATTAAATATTAAAGAAATGGGGGTAATTATTTTAGTTTTTTTTTTGCTTTTTAATTATTATTTTGTAATTTTCTATTTTTACATAAAATTAGTATTTATTTGCCTATTTTTACACAAAAAAATATTATTATTTAACCTTGAAATTCAAATTGAATTAATTTTTAAATTTAAATGTAATATTTTGACAAAGAAATAAAAATTAAAAAACTAATTAATTACGGACGACAGATCGTTCGCAGTGAAGGACGACATCTTCTGTTTATTCGAGGGCGTTCTGGACAATTTGGGGAGCCTGAGGCAACAATACGGGCTAGCCAAATCGGCGAACGAGGTGGTTCTCGTCATCGAAGCTTACAAGGCCCTCCGTGATCGGGCCCCATACCCGCCGAGCCACGTCGTCGGCCATCTCAGCGGCAATTTCGCCTTCATCGTCTTCGACAAGTCCACCTCCACTCTCTTCGTCGCTTCTGTAAGCCCTATTTTGTTGCTTTTTTTCAATCGGTTTCATCGAGGTTCATTGAATAATTAGGGTTTCTGTTCTGCGATTTCTGACAGGATCGGAATGGGAAGGTTCCGTTGTATTGGGGAATCACCGCCGATGGTTATGTCGCCTTTTCCGATAACTCCGATCTTCTCAAGGGTTCTTGCGGGAAATCACTTGCTTCTTTCCCTCAAGGTAGATTAGAACCCCTTTCGAGCTCTGTGTGTATCAATTAACTTGTTCTGTAACGATAATGGAGCGTTTTGTTTTTGGATTCTGCAGGGTGTTTCTTATCTACAGCAGTTGGTGAATTGAGATGCTATCAGAATCCTAAGAACAAGATCACTGCTGTTCCTGCTAATGAGGAAGAGATTTGGGGTGCAACATTCAAGGTAATTTGGTTGACATTCACAACAATCAATCAATCAATCATATCACTAAACTACATGCCTAAGATCTCAACACTTTTTTTTGGTTGATGTTCTTTGTCAGGTGGAGGGCCCTGCAGCTGTGGCGGCCACATGGTGAAGAGATTTCATATAATTGTGTTTAATTTGTGGTTGAGAATGCAGATGGGTGTGCGGTGGATTGGATGCCCAACCGACAAAGTTGGCATGCTTATGCTGAACAGTGGAAGATGGGTGTGTTTTTCTTTGCTTTTACTCTGCTGATGTAAAGCCCTTTTGCTTTTGGTGCAATAAAGTCGTGGCTTTTGTAGAATTATCCTTTGTTATTCTATAAAATAGAGTTGAATTTCCCACCACTTGTGTTTCTGCCATTTTCAACCACTTGTTCATATCAAATGTGGGTGTCATTGACATTTGAACCACAACCATGATGCAATAATGCTGTGAAATGCTGAAATTTAGAGACCAGAATCTTAAATTATGATATGTATTGCGAGGACCAATAGAGCAAAAGAACAGCAAGTTTTGTCTATGGTTATAGCATTAGGTCCATTGATATCCCTACCTTTGCTGTTCCTACTGCATGACACTCACAGTCTAGTTTGGAAGCAGGTTTGAACGTTAGAAGGTATAGAATCTGGTGTTGAAATTTGTAGTATAGCCAAAGATTTTGCCGTGATGAACAATCATGTCACAAGTAGCATAAGCATAGTTGCAGGATCAGTGAGCTAGAGTAGCATAAGCATAGTCCTGGCATTGTTGAAGAATCTTCTTAGACTCGGTCTGTGAGATTTCATATTGATTGAAGAGGAAAACAAAACATTCTTTATAAGGGTGCAGAAACCTCTCCCTAGTTGGTGTGTTTTAAAAACTTTGAGTAGAAGTCTGGAAGGGAAAGCTTAGAGAGGACAATATATGCTAGCGGTGGATTTGGGCTGTTACAAATGATATCAGAACTAGACACCGAGCGATATGCCAACGAGGACACTGGACCCCAAAGGAGTGGATTGTAAGATCCCACATTGATTGGACAGGGGAACGAAATGTTATTTATAATAGTGTGGAAACCTCTTCCCCGAGCGATGTGCCAACGAGGACGTTGGACCCTAAAGGAGTGGATTGTAAGATTCCACATTGGTTGGAAAGGGGAACGAAACGTTATTTATAATAGTGTGGAAACCTCTTCACCAAGCGATGTGCCAACAAGGACGCCAGATCCCAAAGGAGTGGATTGTAAGATCCCACATTGGTTAGAGAGGGAAACGAAACGATATTTATAATAGTGTGGAAACCTCTACCTAGTAGACACACAGCAGGGAAGTCAAAAAGGGAAAACTCAAAGTGGACAATATATATTAAAAAAGGACAGGTCGGAGCGATCTTTATTTCATTAGAGGATTTTTACTCTATATATATATATATATTTTTTTTTTGTAATTAAAATTTGTTTATGAGTTAAAAAAAAAAAAAAAAAAAAAAAAAAAAAAAAAAAAAAAA